CCCCGCCGGTCGGGGTGTCCGGAGCAGGCGGGTAGGGCCGAGCCGGGCCTCTGAGGGGAGGCTGCCGTCTTTTCTCTTTCCCCCCTTTTTTTGAGGCTGGGACGGGAAGGACGCCTCTGCAAGAGGACTGGGCGCTGTAGGAAGCGGTGGGTGAGCAGCGTGTGTGGGGCAGCTCTCCAGGGAGCTGGAAGGGCTCTCCCGACACCTCAGGAGCTGGGTTTTGGCTGTGCTTCCAGTTATTTTGGCACCTGACTATTTCCTGATTACTTGGTAGGAGTGTCCTTCACTGCAGGAAAATGTCAAGTCTCCATAAATGTGTGAGGCTAAGGGCAAGATCTTTTCCCCAGGCCATCATGTGTGAAGTTTTGAGAGGGTGTGACCACAAATGGAGCTCTGTATTGATACCTGGATTCTTAATTGCAGACGCTTTTAGCAGTGTCCCTTTTTTTGTGTGTAACTTTGAAACTGCATGAAGGTTGAATCTGTTTTAACAGCAAGTTGATTGGAGAAGACATGAAACTTTTAGTAACTGGAATTGTGCCCCTATTTTATTTCATTGTGCAAAATTAAGAGAGAAAACTAGATAGAGTTTTTTCTTGATTGCTATTTGGGATTTTCATAGGTTCTTGTTGAGATTAACTTTGCTACAATATGTAGCAATAATAACCTCCATGTTAATAATACTTCTGGTTCTTAAGGTCCTTAATTACTCAGCTGAAGCAGACAGACATTTGGGGTAGATGATGATTTATAAAATGTTAAAAAAACAAAGCAATACCATCCTGGGCCAGAGTAGCTGACCATCCATCTCACTGAGTATTTGGTTTGTCCTGGCACCATAAGAGGTGTGGTATAAGGAATGTACAGAAGTCTGACCATGAGCTTTTGAGCTCCCACAGCATCCCTCTGTCTTTGGATCAGGGATGGTACGGGGTAGATCATCTGTGACTTACCCCATCAGCTTTACATATCTAAAGGATATCTCTTTGTATCCTGAGATGGAATGGAGGTCTTCAGTGCTTTTCTTGAGCTATCTTGTACTCAGTTTAATTTTCTTAATGCACATAATTCCACAGCTCATATTTTTCCCCTGTAGAGAATGCCTTACAATAATATGGGATTAATATCCTGTGTTCATTAGCAGGATGGATGATGTCTCATTTTATTTTAATACGTATTCCTTCTACATAAAACTGTAATGAAATTGTAGCCCAGTAGCTGTTTTGGTGCGCATGATAAAATGTTCATATCACTTGCACAGTGTGAACAAAATAGTTTGGGGACAAAATTAAGGATGATTAGACAAAGTAGAGTATTACTTAGGACTGCTAAAAATGACACGTTAGATGTGCCTTGCACAACTTCCTAAAAATGAACTTGTCAGTGATACCACAGAATCTGGGGAACCTTTGGAAAAAACTTATTTTCTAAGTATTTGCAATATCTTAAAGCCAGAAATGTTCTTAAATCCAGTACAAGCTTATTTGAGTTACCTTTTTCCCATTTCTTTGTAAAATGTTTGTAAAATTTATTATTTGCTTCCTAGCCTTATTAGAGGGTTACCTAGCAACTTTATTTCAATTTGTTAACATCAGTGAGATGATGCATCCTATATAGTGTGTATATACATGTGTATATGGGCTTTCAGTTCTGAATCTTATGCAGGTTGAATGTAACCAGTGAACCACTGTGAACCAAATGACAGCAAGGACAAGTTCTAAGTCACAGTGGTATTAAGCATTATACATTTTTTTTTTTCATGAAGTAGAAAGCTAGCTGAATTTAGAGAAGTAGTTGAGGTTTCTCCTTTTGATGTTTCTAATTTTCTAGTGATGCACACATTTTGCTTTAGTTTTTGTCTTATATCTGTTCCATGTGTAGTTCTAGAGTTACAGGCTTGTAAAAAGAGTTCTGTTTCCTACAGTTGGCCTTGGCAGAGTTATATGAAGATGAAGCTAAAAGGCAGTCATTGTGTCCTGAAAAAACAACAGCTACAAAGCTTAGTAACACAAAAGCATCACAGAGGTAAGATGTGCTTTGTACTTCAGAAACATCTTGAACAGGAACTGTATTAGCTCACAAAACATTGTCATGCTTAATTAATCTCCTTCTTGTATAAAAAGCGATCTACAGCGGTTCATAATCAGAATTGTGAATCCCTGTAATAATGCAGTCTGTGTCTTCTCAGAATGCTTTTAAAATTGTATTTATTTAGGAGCCTTTATGCTACATGGTATTCTGAAACACTTGAAACCCACTTCAGCTAAGCTAAGATTAAGGTGCTGTAAACGGGATGCAGTGTTATTCATTGTTTACACAGATAGAATTTGGAAATTTTATATTTAAAAAAAATACGGCAATTCTTTGCTTGTTCAAAATTGAGTAAGTCAGTAGTTTGTGTGAAACTTTACAAGTGAGCTACTCTGAGTGTTGTACTTAAGACAGTGTCTGACGAGACAAATATTAATTTGAAAAATTATTAGTAGGTTTGTTAGGAGGCTTCTTGTGGGATAAGAGGAATAAGAAGGGCTTTTTAATCAATTTATCTGGGTTTGGCAGGTGGAAGGAAAGACACCCAAATTCTGCTGGTTTGCAGTTCACATAGCATTTGAAAATTCAATTTAGTTTAATTTTTTTAATAAAGAAATCTTATCAGTTTTGAATTAATTTTTATTTAAATAATTTTAAAGAAGTCTTTACATCAATTACTTGCCATAACAAGGCTTGTATTTTGTTTGTCTTTCAATTGCTTCTGCCAATGTGGATTTCTGTTTTTAAGGAGGTTAAGCAGCAGAAAAGATGTAAGTTACCAGTGCACCTGCAAATTCAGATCTTCAGGAAGAGAGATTTTAGCACAAAATGTGACACTTGGAAAATAATGGCTTTTTTTGTAAGATTTTTTGTTTATTTTGATGAAACTAAGTTGACTGATCAGCTACATGGAACACAGTTTATAAACAAATAATTAGCTCCATTTATCAATACATATACTAAAGTTGCAACTTCCCACTCCAACTGAAGGAGAAGCTGCAGTACAGTATCTCAGATATTTCAGAGTGATAGCTGTTGGCAAACACTTGCTCTTTTTTGGCAATCATACTGGAATCTGTCTGAGAAAGAAGAGATGGCTGCTTTTTGCATAGTATCCAAAATAAGATTTTTCTTTTAGTAAACTTCAGCTTTCTCTCAGATGAGCAGTATATTAATGGCAAGGAAACATAGTTTTGCCCTAGGGCAAGTGTAGAGTTGTGCATCTGGGAAAGAACAACCCCATGCATTAGTATAGGCTGGAGACTGACCTGTTGGAGAGCAGTGTAGGAGAAAAGAACCTGGGGGTCCTGGTGGACAGGAGGATGCCCATGACCCAGCAATGTGCCCTTGTGGCCAAGAAGGCCAATGGCATCCTGGGGTGCATTAGAAACGGTGTGGTTAGTAGGTCAAGAGAAGTTCTCCTCCCCCTCTATTCTGCCATGGTGAGGCTGCATCTGGAATATTGTGTCCAGTTGTGGGCCCCTCAGTTCAAGAAGGACAGGGAACTGCTTGAAAGAGTCCAGCACAGAGCCACAAAGATGATTAAAGAAGTGGAACATCTCCCTTATGAGGAAAGGCTGAGGGAGCTGGGTCTCTTTAGCTTGGAGAAGAGGAGACTGAGGGGTGACCTCATCCGTGTTTATAGATATGTAAAGGACGAGCGTCAGGAGGATGGAGCCAGATTCTTAGTGATGTCCAGCGATAGGACAAGGAGCAGTGGGTGCAAACTGGAACATAGGAGGTTACATGTAAACATGGGGAAAATCCTCTTTACTGTAAGGGTGACAGAGCATTGGAACAGGCTGCCCAGAGAAGTTGTGGCCTCTCCTTCTCTGGAGATATTCAAAACCTGCCTGGACATGTTCCTGTGTGATGTACTCTAGGTGACCCTGCGCTTGCAGGGGGTTTGGACTGGATGATCTTTTGGGGTCCCTTCCAAGCCCTAAGATTCTGTGAATTACATTGTCTTATCAACACTGATACTTAAAAAAGCAGTGGCCTGCTCTGCTGCACTTTGATTACAAAGGTATTGTAATCAGACATATCACCTAAGTCTGAGCTAGTCTAATGATCTGCCATTACTCATTGTCATGGATTACTCAGGATCAGCAATTGAATGAGTGAAAATAATGCTCTCTATCCCCTCCCACCCAGATATGGAGAGAGAGATTAAGGAGCATGAGATTAAGGAGGGACGCTTCTGAAATGAAGACTAAACTGGACAGCTTTAATTAAATACTAGTGATAAAAGAAAATATGTACAAATAAGCACAAATATATACAGAATGTGCAAAACCCCTATCACTTCCCCCCACCCGCAGCAACTCCCACAGCACTCTCCTAAGCTGAGGACAGTTCCGAAATGTCCAGGACCACTTCCAAAGAGAGCAGCAGAGCAGGCAGGAGCTGAGGGGAGAGTCATGAGGGTCAGGAATGCACGTGCCTAGGGATCAACAGTGATGGATAGACAGAATCCTCCCTGTTCACCAGCCATTGATGGAAAAGAAGAAGAAGGGCTTGATTTCCGTCATCTCTGAATTTATACTGAGAGTTACGTATACTATTTCTTTGGCCAATTTTGCTGTCTGTCCAGTCTGCTCCTCCCTATGGGAGGACTGTAGATATAAGTCTTCTGCTCCTTTAGTGTCTGAAGCAGCAGATTCAACAAGCAGAGCAAAGTATCTTTGGTGTCTCAGCAGTAACTAAACATTCAGGCATATCAGTCCACTAGCTGGAAAACTTGCTGCTAATTTCAGCAAATGTGCTGCTTAAAAGAGAGTTAACTGAAGAAAAACAAATCAGTGAAAAGAAAATTGGCTTCATCCTGGCTAACACCAGGATACTCATGTAGCAGATGGTATGTACGTTCTTATCCCGTAGTAGTTGACTACCTCATATATTTTGCATTAATTAATTTTATCATGAAGGTTAAGAGCATATATCTGTACAGCTTTTCCTGGCATTTAGCAAACTAACAATCCTAGCTTCTCTGGTGGTTACTTATCAGTCTCTCCCTATCATAAAACAGAATCTGATTAAATAACCTTTCGATAGTCTTTGCAATGTTGCCATTCAACATGCTTTTTTAATTGTATAAAATAGGACAGAGAACTACTATTTTGTTTTTAGGATCCTCGTAGACAGGAACTCCAGGATAATGAAGAAATTCAATGTTGACTTTACTAGGCAACTTACCTCTTGAGAAAATCAGCTAAAACGTAGAAAGAATTTTAGGTGTAATTAATTCTGGTAAGCTGGATTCTGAAACAGCTACTGAGCTTGCATATTACCTGTGTTACCTATGGGACCACCAGTGTTGTAAAGCAGAATTCTACTTAACCTATGCTAGAAGAGACAAGAATAATTTAGTTAGAAGGGACCTACAACGATCATCTAGTCCAACTGTTACTGCAAAATGACTGCCATACACATCCTCTTTCCTGCTTATTCACTGAGAAGCATTCATTGCTACATACTTTAGCTAACAAAAAAGGTCTGGTGAGGACAAAAAAACAAACCCTCCAACAACTTGCTATGCTTAGTTTTTGAAAAAGAAGTGGTTTCAGAAGTCAGAAATTAAGTACATAGTGAAGTGTATGTAGCAGTCATCTTCAAACGTTTTCTTTTACTCTCTTGGCAGTCTTAAAATTGATTCTCTTAGAAGGTTGAGAAAACCAGAGAGAAGCATGAGCGATGACAAGGAAAACCAAAGGTATTTTTAAAACAAACAAAATGTATTTAGCATGTGTGAAAGTAATGGGGGTTTTGGGGGTTTTGGTGTCATTCACACTTTATTCTCTCCTGTTTTGTTTTTTTTTTTTCAAAATGTGTGTGAGTTAAGTTTGTCCTGCAAAGAGCTAGGAACTACAGAGATGATGTGTGACTTTATTAGAGTAAGTGTTAGCTGTCCACTGCTGTAGTAAAATGATATTTAGCAGAATCTGGGTGTAGTGATCTAGGACCTGTAGATGTCTTAACATGAGACCTTATGGATATAAAGCTTGCGACTTGCTCTTGGTCTCCAAGGCTTTTTTTGCCCATTCTCGAATACCTGAGTTGTCTGTATCCATTATTCAAGTATTTGAATACTTCCTTTGTTTCTTGAATAAAAGCTCTGATGGGAATTCTTATTCATCTCATTACTGCTGTAATTATTTTAAATTTAATAATTAAAGATTTTCCCTATAAATGGCAATTGGAATAATAAATATAGATATATGTACAAAGGAGAGATGATACTAAGGGATTGCCAGTTATGCGACATCGTAAAAGTAGTATGATAGTACAGTACCTTCATTCCTACTGCTGGTTTTGGGTAATTGTGAAATATGTTGGAATCAACAGCTTTCTGAAGAGACTGGCCTGAGACACAGTTTCACATGGATAATTTATTTGCCTTGCCTAAAGTGGTTAAGTGAAAAAGTTAAGGAAAGTAGAAAGCACTTATTTTGCTAGTTATTAGCACTTCTTGTAATCAAAGACAAAACGCTCTCAAGTTTGCCAGGTTTTATATTTATATATAGATTTTTTACAGCATCTATTCCATTAGTATTTAGAGATTTATAGCACCTTCCTCAAGGAATACCTTGATCTTCATAATCAAGCAGATACAAATAATTCTGTTCACAATTGTAGCTTAACATTTTAGCTTCAAAAGCTGGAAATGGGGCTGTGGCGAAGAAAAAGAGCACAAATTAGCTTTCACAGCAATTTCAACAGATTTTGAAATTACTTGAAAAGTAAATTAAATTTAAATTTCTGATATTGACAGGAATGGAAGTATACTAGATCTTTTCATTTGAAGATCATATTGTGGCGCTGTTCAGGTTTTCCAACAACAGTTTTACACACATTCTGTCAAGGCAGTGTTAATTGTGAATCTGTATTCTAACCAGCCCAGGCACAGTCCCATGTAAGAAAATGTCTTTTGGGGAGATGTATAAAGCCATGGCTACATCAGAACTGCATTCACTGAAACATTTGGCCTTGGCCCCGAATCTCTGGGCTCTGTTCCAGAAGGCATCTTGATAGTTTTCTTGGTGTGATGTCTCTGGAGTAGTGCTGCTTGGATTGCTGGGAAGATCAGAACCAAGTGGAACATTTCTGTCATCAGAATGAAAATGTTTTGTGCCAGATTTGTCTCTTTGTTCATTCATTTTTTTCTTAGAATGGGATGATGAAAATGATGTTTGTCATTTAAAGGATTGTTCTTATGAACATTGCTATTCTAAAGATTTTATTCAGGTGACTCAGAATTTAGAGGATTACAGATTTCTGGGGCTTCTAATAATCCAAGTAAAATTGTCGCTGAACTCTTCAAAGAAGCAAAAGAACATGGGGCTGTCCCGTTAAATGAAGCCTCAAGAGCATCTGGTGATTTCAGTAAACCTAAGGTAATAGTTAAGATATTTTGTTCTCTATTTACATCAGTGTCTCTAAAAATCATTTAACAATATGAGAGCAAATACACCTTTTTGTGGTTTCCAAACAGCAGAGAATTTGATGAACACAGCTGTGTATTATCTGTGCTCAAATAGCTTGCTTCAGAAAATAAAGCAGGGAGGAACCATACAGTTGCAGGGGGAATAACTAGAAATCAACCTGAACTGGAATTATTTGCTTTATTTTTAATTAAAATATATTTAATTAAATTTGATTAATGCAGTTGCATCCTAATCAAAATCTCTTGTCTGTTGAATTACTAATGTTTGGAGAAGTGTACAGATTAGAAGTGGAAATGCATGACATAAAACCTGCTTAGCCTGATTACAGTTACTAGGTATAATTTTCCATTTAGAAAGTATACAAGTTACAACAGTGCATTTGCTTTTTGTCCTAGAAGCAAGCTTGCAGATGCTTTTATTTGCATTTAGGTAAGAATTTTAATGTACGGATACTTATTTCAATAAGCTTTTCTATGTATTTTTTCCAGTCATTTTCCGGTGGTGGATATAGATTGGGTGACTCATCACAAAAGCACTCTGAATATATATATGGAGAAAATCAAGATGTAAGTAAAATTCTGAATAGCAGGAGTAGAATCTCCAGTAGATGTCTGCTTAATGACACTTACAGTTTGAAATGCCAAGTGTTACTGCAACTATGTCTATGAGGAAAGACTAATATCTAAATATTAGATATATGTTACATAGACATTGTTAGTGACAGTGTCCACAGAGAATAGGTGTTTGTTGGATACCCCTCAGGCCTCCATTATGGAATTTTATGATGTAAATTACTTTGAAATTCTTAGCAAACATTCCTTTCAGTTACTTTTGTCCAGCTGCTGTTCTGCGTTTTCTTAGTTATGCTAACCTTTTAATCCTCTTAGCTTAGGAATTTTTTTCTTGTTGTGCTTTGCAAAGTAGCCAGCCTCAAACTGGAGGGCATGGCTGTATTCAAGGAATGATGAAGCAGATGCTTAGAGGCTTTTGGAAAATTGTCTGGCTTTTCTTTTCTCTCGTTTAAAAGGTGGGACATGATGTGGAGGTGTGGGGAGTAAACAAAGTTCTCTACACTTTGCCATTCCTGTGAATGGCCAGAGCAAATGTTAAGCTTATCTAGAAATAAGAAATGAGTGAGGCCAAAGCATGTAGTTCAGGCTGGGGGGTGCTGTCCTGTCATACAAGGAGCTGCTACCTTCTACCCTGTAAGCAATGGCCAGATGTACTGAGCTGGAAGCTGGTTCCAGTGGGATTACCCTAAGAGGGAGCAGGGATAATTTTTTTAAGGAGAAGGTCAGCTTTGCTGGCCAGGAAAGCCTCATTGTGCCGAACTGCAAGGCATTGTCAGGGAAGAGAGGTGCAGGCTTTGAAGGTGGAAGGCTCTGGCTGGAGGTACAGGAAGGCTGCAAATTAGGAAGGGAGTGAAGGAAGCTGGTTTACAGAATTATCAGCATTTGAGCTGAATGGAGTTGATACCAACTTCACTGGAGCTCAGCATGTAATAATTTGAAGAATAGTTTTTGCTGTATCTGCAGGAATTTGTACTTTCATGGATTTCTTAATTCATCAACAGGAAATGTTTACTGTGTTTTAAAAGTAGTTAGAACACTGTGGAGATTATTACAGTCACTGTATAGCATCTGTTCTGCCATGGATAGAGGATTAAGATATTCCTATTTTGCTAAGTATAGAAGTGGTCTTATAGTAGGTAGTAATCTTTATCTATTATTTGCTTTTTTTTTTTTAAAGGATTCTAACAATAATAGTTACAGTCCAATCCTCTGTTCTTTTTTTTTTGTCATTTGCATTCTTGTTTGTGGTCTGCTACAAAATCTGTTAAGGATAGAAAAAAGATTCATAGAATCATAGAATAGTTTGGGTTGGAAGGGACCTTAAAGATAATACAGTTCCGATGCACCTGACATGGGCAGGGACACCTTCCACTAGATCAGGTTGCACAGAGCCCCATCCAACCTGGCCTTGAACACTTTCGGGGGGGGGTTAGCCACAGCTTCCCTGGGGAGCTTGTTTCAGTGTCTCACCACCCTCACAGTAAAGAATTTCTTCATAATATCCAAACTAAATCTAGCCTCTTTCCATTTAAAATCGTTACTCCTTGTCCTATCACTACGTGCCCTCATAAAAAGTCCCTCCCCAGCTTTTGTGTAGGCCCTTTCAGGTACTGGAAAGCCACTATGGGGTCTCCCCAGAGCCTTCTCCAGGCTGAACAACCCCAACTCTCTCAGTCTGTCTCCATAGGAGAGGTGCTCCAGCCCTCTGATCATCTTCGTGGCCCTTCTCTGGACTCACTTCAACAGCTCCATGTCCTTCCTGTACTGGGAGCTCCAGAATTGGACAAAATCCTTCAGGTGGGGTCTCACAAGTGTGGAGTAGAGGGGGAAACTCGCCGCCCTCAACTTGTTGGCCAGGCTTCTTTTGATGCAGGCCAAGACATAGTTGGCTTTCTGGGCTGCGAGCGCACGTTGCCGGCTCATGTTGAGCTTCTCATCAACCAGTACCCTCAAGTAATTTTCTTCAGTACTGCTCTTTATCTGTTTTCCACCCAGCCTGTATTTTTGCTTGGCATTGGCCAGACCCAGGTGCAGGACCTTGCACTTGGCCTTATTGAACTTCATGAGGTTGACATGTGCCTATCTCTCCAGCCTGTCCAGGTCCCTCTGAATGGCTTCCCTTCCCTCCAGTATGTCAACCCCACCACACAGTTTGATGTCATCAGCAGACTTGCTGAGGGTGCACTTAATGCCACTGTCCATGTTGCCAGCAAAGATGTTAAACAGCACTGATCCCAGTATTGACCCTTAAGGAACTGCACTCATCAATGGTCTTCATCTGGACATCAAGCTATTGACCACAACTCTTTGAGTGTGGCTTTCCAGTGGTCCATCCATCTAATCCATATCTTTCCAATTTAGAGACCAGGATGTCATACAGGACAATGTCAAACACTGCACAAGTCCAGGTAGATTATATCAGTTGCTCTTCACTTATTTGCTGTCACTGTAACCCCATCATGAAAGGCCACCAGATTTGTCAGGCACAGTTTGCCCTTGGTGACACCATATTGCTTTCCACCAACCACTTTCTTATTTTCCATGTGCCTTAGCATAGTTTCAAGGAGGATCTGCTCCATGATCTTGCTGGGCACAGAGGTGAGACTGATTGACCTGTAGTTCTATAATTCTATAACTAGCCTGTATGAAATTGAAAGATGCTATTTGTCTGTCTTAAATGTTTTTAATGCCACTGTTTCTGCTTCTCAGGTTCAAATTTTGCTGAAACTGTGGAGGAATGGCTTCAGTTTAGATGATGGCGAGTTGAGATCCTATTCAGATCCAACAAATGCTCAGTTTCTTGAGTCTGTTAAAAGAGGGTAAGTTAAAATGGCAACTTTTTGAGGTCTTTCAAGTGATGTGAAGAAAAACTTTCTCCACATGTTGATAATTATTAAAAGCTCAAGGCTTCTTCTCTGCCTGGACCCATAAAATGTGTTCTGTAATTGTCATCAGATGCACGGGGCATTTAAATATTTGGAACAGTTTGCATCCTTCTAGTGGTTTAGCTCTGAATGCTACTTGCTACATAGAGCTCTTAGTTTCCCATGTTTTGTTAGCACATTGTAGGTTTTCACTGACAGTAGGTTCTAAGTTTTGACTGACAGATTTTTTTTCTTCTTTTTAGTTTTTCATTTTATTTATTATTTTGAGTTTAAATCAATTCATAGAACAATAGGACTTTTAAGACTTTTAGACTATACTAATGATGTCTACTCATGCTGTACTGTCTAAGGTTTTTGTGTAATTTTGTATTGCACTTCAGAACATAAGTGGGAAACCTTTATTTTTGTAATTAAGGGAAATTCCTGTGGAACTGCAACGACTTGTTCATGGTGGCCAGGTTAATTTGGATATGGAAGACCACCAAGAACAGGAATATGTGAAGCCTAGACTGCGATTCAAAGCTTTCAGTGGAGAAGGGCAAAAACTTGGAAGGTAAAAACCACTAAGTTTTCTGTTCATATGCTATTCTGTTCACATGTTTCTGTGTTCATTGGCTATTTTAGAAGTGGATTTAACCAATTAGGAGACTGCTGAAGAAGCTAATCAGATGACAAAAGGAATATGACATTATTCTGTGCAACAAATCCAGCCCTGATTTCTGAGTCACCAGTAATCATGGAAGTTTTATATAAAATCTTAAAAAAAAAATCTTATGTCCTAGAACTGCTCAGAGATTTGCTGTATACTTTGTGCTTCATTGCAAATCTGAGATTCCTGTACATCTTCTTGCATATAATTTTGTCTTTGTATTTTTTAAATTTCATCCATGTTTAAAAAAGGAAATTGATTATTTAGAAAAGCTTTTATTTGATTCTATTTTGTTTGCTGTCCTGGTGCCAAGTTGGCTGATGTTGTTAAAACTCTCCAACATGTGTGTAATTCAATTGAACTGATACAGAATGTGCCAAAAGTCACTTCTATGACTGAATATTTCAGACTACTTTGTCCAAAAGTGTATAATCTCTCTTCATCTTAAGTCAGTCAGTAAGAGCAAACAGTAATGTGACCTCAGGTCTGCCAGTCATCAACTTTTTCACATAACAATTACAGGCTTTATAGCATCTTTTCCAGCTGACTTGATACTAGCTGTTGAAGTGTAACTACTTCTAGGTTTCTGTTCTTGATTGCTTTTATTCATGTAATATGTTTGGTTGCCAAAAAAGGTATTACTGGCATGCTTCTGCAAGTAATTTCATTCAATAAATGATTCTCAGCTGTTTCCAATCTATACTTCATCTTTTTGAAAATGCAGAAATGTGTTCAGTAAAACTGTGAAAGTGATGAGCTCTGCTAGGAGTGATGTATTATTGAACAGTTGTATACAACTTCTTCACCTGAGGACTTGCTCAGGCTATTAAAGAAAATAGGTGGGGAAGAGAGGAGGTTCTGTATGTAAAAAAAAAATGTGCACACCAGTTGTATGGCATTTTGTTTATTTCAGTAGCTCATGAAGTCTCAGGTATGTAAGCAGTGGAAGAGGAGCCAATCTCCAGTCAGATTTATATTATTTTTATACTAAATAGAAGAAGTTCCAAGCTAACATATGTGGTGATATCAATTACTTGTAAATATAATTTGTGCTCTAAAAGGATGAGAGAGGCCTAGAATCTTAAAGTGGTGCTCCTGAAAGCAATTGCTGAAGCAGTTTAGATCAGTTGCACTGCACGTTTGTTTTTTAATTGAGTCCATGAGGTACAATGTATAAATCTTAGTATCAAAGCCTGTCATTTCATGCTCTGTAAGCATAAACAAAGATGGTCTTGTTTGTACTTGATTACCTCTTTAAAAATATGCAAATGTGGTTATATACAGTTACAAGAAAAATAAATATTAACTAGTGCAGTCGTTGGCAAGAAACTACAAAAGCATTATTTGTGTCTCTGTTTTAAACACTGTGTTTATGCTTAGTTCAGATGACTTTGAGAAGATTTTTGTTTGTACTAGCTATACATTATAGTCATTCCATGATAAAGACAACTGAAACATTATTCAGTTCTGGTTTGGCTGCATTAGTAACATCTAGTTGTTTTCTCTCAATCCTTTAGCCTTACACCTGAAATAGTCAGCACACCTTCTTCCCCAGAGGAGGAGGAGAAGTCCATTCTTAACGCGCCTGTTCTGATTGATGATTCCATGCCAGCAACTAAAATTCAAATTAGATTAGCAGATGGAAGCCGATTAATACAACGATTTAATCAAACACACAGGTAAATTGATTCTGCATCGACATGGGTAACTGTAACTACTTCACTAAGTTTGTGTTTTGTCATTAAATGAATACTAAAAAAACCCATGAAAAACGGGAGAAATACAGCTCTACTGAAACATAGTTCTCAGTCATTTTCATAACATGGATGTATTGATAAGTTACCAAAGAAAAATTCTGTAACTGGGAACACAAAGTATTTGATAATTGTAAAGTCACAGACTTTCATGACCAGTTTTGTCCTGTGGTTTGTAAAGACACAGTACCAGCCATAACTGTTCTCAGGGTGACTGAGATTTGGACAGCCTTGCCATGTAGTCATCCCAACCCTGGACTGTTCTTGGGAAGACCATGTGGCTGACTCAGATGATGTTGTGAAGACACTTTGTTTTAAGGTGTTTTGGAGTGTAGTCTGAATTGCATGTAACCCACACTACAGACAGAAGAGAAATGCTTTGGCCTGTAATCGAGTGCTTCAACTTTTTACCTTGCTATACTTGAGGCAATGATTAAAGATGACATGGGTTGTGAGTGCAGACTGCAGCCCATACGCAGAAGGATATATGGACCTAACACGCTTATTTGCAATTCAGGAATATAGGCTGAACATAATACTGAGAACCAACCTTTGTTTTGGTTTGGATGGTCATCTCAGGATCTGGCAGCATGTGAACTTGGTGGGTTTTTTAGATCTTTTAGTATTCTGATTAGAACTTGCCATCAGTATATTGACATTACTGGGGCACTGCCACAAATGGTGTTGGCCAACCCTATTTATTTGCCTAAGAGGTTGTTTTAGTGCAAGGTTCTGCAAAGCTCTACTTTGCACTGTGTGGTTGAGAGACCTTTGGGCAGAGGGCAGAGTTGTGGGCAGTAGTTCCACCCACACTTCACAGCAAGTAGTGCTTAAGCCAGTCCTGGTCTGGAATGTGCACCATTGTGTTAGAACACAGCTGAAACTGAGGTTAGGTCCTGCCTTGGAGGTGGTCTTAGCATGGACCCAATTCCATGTTAATATTGGTACAGGGAGAGTCCACCTGTTTTGTTTATTTCCTTCTGGCTCAGAATGAGGGCAGAGCCAATGTGCACATTTCTTCACCTGACAACATGCACAGACCATGAGGCAATTGTAGCCAAGGTGCCAGTAGGGAGGAAGATACAGCAGTAATTTCCCATAGTTTAGCAGACTTGATAGTACAGGCCTGGATTCTTTCTTCACAACACCTACTGGAGAAGTGACTTAGATAAATAGTAGGGCTCATCAGAAGTCTCTGTAGCCATCATGAGTTTTCTTTTGCCTGCGTAAAAGCATAGAAGTGTAGTAACAGAGCAGTAAGGTCTGTAACGAAGGGTATGTGGACAGAAGCTTGTTTAATAGTTTCTCTTGGATGTGGATCTCTTTAGTTATCCTTGCAATATGTATGATCAAAATCAGCTACTATAATGCATGGCTTGTGTCATAAGCCTTGAAGACTGATAGAAGGTTTAAGTTCCTGCTTATTTGGCTACAGTAAATCTGCCTATTTATTAGTTACAATAGCTGTTCAAAGATTCATTCTCAGATCACTGTCTTAGGTGAAAAATCTCAATTTTCAGTTTTATCTCTAAAATCTTATATATTTTTTGCCCATGTCTTATAAAACAAATTTTTTCTTGTACTGATGATGTGATTGCTGTGAACTGTTGCTCAGAAATCCAACGCCAAGTGAAAGTAGGGGAAACCACTTGCTATTAATAATTGCCCTCTGCTTTCTCATCACTGTCACCATGTCACCAGATTCTTTCTTCCATTAATAATTCAGCCTTTTTGGAATAAATTAATAAATAGTGAAATTTTTAACAGCTGGTGTTGAAACGGCATGATTTTTTCATGCTAAGCATCAGTTTGCAATATACTTCTATGTTACAAATTTTATTCTGTTAATTGAGAAACAAGCACCATTCTGTTTTTCAGGTTTTGTATGCAAGAAGCAAGAATTCTAGGCCACAATCATTAGTTATCTGGATCAATAGGACATATAAAGTAATTTAGTCTGTTAGAAGGTTTTGTGTTCTCTGATCATCTTAATGTTCAGAGATTTGTGTCAAAACGGAATCACACAGTTTTCATGTCCATATCCTTTCCACAGGATTAAGGATATTCGAGATTTCATTATCCAGTCCCGTCCAGAATTTGCAACTTCTGATTTTGTTCTCGTGACTACCTTTCCAAATAAAGAGCTGACAGATGAAAGCCTGACACTGCGAGAAGCAGATATACTTAACACTGTGATTCTTCAGCAATTAAAGTAACCTTGCAGTTGTTGGTACAAGGTAGGGAGCGAACTGTATTGTCATACAAGAGGTTGCCGACAGATGAAAAAAGAAAAGCTCTGTGTCTTTTTATGTCACCACTTCCATGGATCAGATTTTTGGGTTTCATGTCTTTCAGCTGTAGCACATCAGACTTTTAAATTTCAATTTCTCAACATTGTTCAACATTTTTTCAATGAAAAAGGTAAGCTTCCCTATGTTTGTATGTTTCAAATCACATCTTGTACTAAATGTGAAATGAGATATGACTTTATTACTCTTTGTTATTTTGAGGGGGGTGGAGGGAGAAGCATTTTCCTGAATGGGACAGTGTCTTTCATACAGTTGGTAAGATTTGCACTATGGAAATGTCTTATGCTGCATTGGTAAACAGCCATTTGAAAACTTAGCCTGCAGGTTATGTTTACCTTCCAAGCTGTATTAATATGAAGGTGTTATATTTAATAGATTAACAGATAATTAATGGTCTACTGTAATTTTTGTATATTCTGTTTGTAGTATTTCATGGTGCGGTAAAGTATTTATCTTCTAGTTTTTCCCTAATTTTCCCTGTATCATTGCTCATATGAGAGTATCGGTTCAGGAGATGCAAACCTCAGCTATTGCAGATTATAATAGATTTTTCTCGTTTGTATTCTAGTTGTTCTGCTTGTGGCAGAAATAAGTATGAGGTTTTTTTCTTCCCAAAGTTAGAGAAATGGGAGAGACCACTGTCATCTGGAAAAATGCTCAGTTAGATTTCATAAGAGTAGGCCTGTGGTCACTTCAAACCTGAATGTGCAGCTGAACCCTGTGCAGCTACATGATTCTTCACTTGAACAGTTACTTAAGCAACCACAAACAAGAAGCACGAAGTTGCACAAACATGGAATTTGTTTCTGCTGTCACTTGCATGCACAAAAGTAGACATGTTAATTGGTCATGTATTTTTTTTTACCAGAATTTCAGGCCTTTACATTTGGAATTTTGGCCAAAGGCAGTTTGGTGTATTCAGCGGGGATTTGATTGTGCAGTTTTCCATTATATATATTTGGAAGCTTAAATTAAACCCCCTTAATGTTTGAAATTATGTATTTTTTCAAATAACTTGGCTCTACACTGCAGAATGCAGGTAGCAATCAGGTTGTGGGCAAACTGGCTGTTGTGCTTTAGGAATATGCAGTTTTATAGTGTTTGTGGCTTTATGGCAGCTGAGTGGATCACACTCTGAGGGACAATAAATGGGCTGCATCTCTTGAACCGGTATGTGTTAAAAATGCTGTTTTCACTGATTACTTCATTCTGAAAATATCAATATTTATTTATGCTAAGCTTATAAATGTTCAGTATATTTGGTTAATCTTACATTTTTACCTCAAGGTAGATAAATTGAGTAAATTTTAAATGTGCAATGGTATTTGAAGGATTTTATTTTGTAATCTGAATATCTGCATGATTTTAATCATACTTCATTTCATGTGCTAAGTAATTAAAATTTTAAACTAAAAAGACCACGGGGAACATTTCTTCTTTTCTTCACAATTTATGTTGTGGTGAAGTGTTTATTGTGTTGCGTGCCAAATACTTAAACCTAAACGGAAATGAATGAACACTAACTATGCATATATTTTATGTACTAACATGTCTCTATATAAATGCAAGGCCAAAGTCAGTATTGTGATATTGATCTTGGGCAATCTGTGGTTTGGGCATCTTCCCCTTGCTTGTGCTGCTAAAGCACGAGAGACCTCAGGGAAGGCTTGTGCTGTTCTACAACCAGATGAGATGGTGAGCAGCAAGTAAATGTGAGGAAACTAGAATCCTGAAAGGATTTCGAAAGAGATTTGATTCTCCATGTTTTTTCTCTAACCTGTACTGACTTTTTCCACACAGCAGTTTTTACTTGTTATTTGCTCAGCTACATGTTACCTCAGGTGTGTACAGAAAGTTTCTTAAAGTTCTGTATCAGAGGCTTAAGCCTACAGTGCTTGATGCCTGTCTTCCTAAGCAGCTCCTTGGAGACTATTGGCCTGCCTGTAGGTACATGTGAGAATAAATAGCTTTAGGTTTAATGCTCAGATGCTAAACTTCTTGTGGCTGAAGCCATATCTCTCAGTGTGTCTGTGATTCCTAAAAATAATGGCTGCCCAGTTCTAGTTGCAATCTTCAAGCCCTATTGCATTAAACCTTTGAAACCATAAAAACTCAGTTTAAGGACTACGTTATTGGTTTCTCCAATTGTAGCTCCTAGTACCTGAAGGAATTCTAGCTCCCAGTGCCTTGACTGATGCTTGAGTATCAATCCCATGGATCTCCGAGCTGGTGCATTGATAGATATATTCTGTAACTTTGCAGTAGCGAAAATGAAGGAGAAAAATAGTTATTTTCTCTTTCTTTTCTTTCTCTTTTGAAGTGGCAGTTTAACTGATCCCAAAAAGTCAGAACATGTCAACCTGGCAAGGTCTGTTTGCCTTTGTTGTCTCTATAGGCTTTATTACCCAATTGACTGCGCAAGCAGAGAAGGTAGCGGTGACCTGGAGTTAGCGATTTCCAAATAGCCTTTACTTTTACTTTTGCAAATAGTTTACTTTGTTGGTGGCCAAGGCCACTGACAACCGCATTTAATTGTATAAGTTTTCTTAGAATAGTAGCATATACAGGCTCAGATAGTGCTGCTGTCTTTGTACAAGCACAGTAATTAAGATATGTTGCAAGATATGTTTATTACAGAGAAAATGACATTTTTTTAATAGCCTTGTTTAAGTCTACTCTTAGATGAACGAAACGGTCTCTTTTCCATAGAGGACTAATAATGGGATAGTCAATATTATGGATTTTTAGAATACACTTGAAATTTTGTATAGTAGCAGTAGCATTTTTCTAGAGAGCCTGTCTACAGTTGCAAGGTCGTTTTAATTCCTGCAAGACAAGACCAAAAAAAAATAATATTAATAAATCTGTAACTGTATTATCAGATAGGAAAAATTTATTTGGATTAGGATTTTACAGAGAAAACAATCAGGGGTTACTGAAGCTGCTGGTCTGATGATATCAGACTGATTGTCTAGAATGAACTATATTAAGTTTTTTTTCCAGATGTGGTAAGTATGTTGTCTAGATTCCCTTAGTGAAATACAGATGTAGATTCTGCCAGTAACTTGCATTTTATAACAAAAGGAAAGTGTTAGGCTTTTAAAAGAAGCCTGAGCATATTGGATGTTTGAAGGTCAGACTTGGATGTTAGTTAAGCATTTCTGGTTCCTTTCTGGTTTGCTCTTACACAGAGCAGTTAATTGCAAACATGATGCAAGCTGGTGATAGCAAATCATTAGGGAGATATTTTTCCTCCCTTTCATCTCCTGTCATTCTAAGGGGGAAACAGATTATAATATGTATCAAGTATTTCTGCTAGAAAAGCTTCAGCAGATACAACAATGCAAGATCCTGTCTTCTTACCCCGGTTATTTCAGCACCCGCAGAGCTTGCAGTCTACACTTCCCATGCAGGTGGCTGCCCTTCTTTCATAACTGTCATGCTTTTTCTTGTATTCCTGTCTACTTGAGTGTCTGTCACTGAAACTGAAGGAGTCTTCTGGCAACCTGTTTTCATTCTGTATTCTTGGGGTCTCATCTGTTACGTTTCACCTCATCCATTTTATTTGGTCTTCTGAAGCTCCTGCTTGAGTAATGAGTTGCTTAGGTGGCAAGTTAGGCTGATCATGTAGCAGTTTCTTTTCTGCTGAAAAAGTACTTTCTTGAGGATAGTTAATAATAATTTGTATCCCAAGGATTTACCTTCTTTCTGAGAGCCAGATTTTTGTGCATGTTTAAGAAATCATTTGGAAGTTATGTATTAAAGTGAAAGAAAGGAGCACAACTCCTCCTCGACTCAGTAGTGGAAGATTGTCATGTTTGATGCATCACTAATGGATTCTGCTTTCTACACTCTTTGTGCTTCCTTTTTTTTTTTTTTTTTTTGCCATAACTAAGCTAATTTTTTAATATGAAAGACTTTTAATCTATGTTGTGTTGCTTCTTTTTTGCCACAACTGACAATGTTGGTATCTGGGATGTTTCTCAGCCTTACTCTGGTCAGAATGAAGTCTTTTAATCTGTAGGCAGAGGTAAAAGAAAGGATTTGCACTGGAAGCATGAGCCTATTCCCTTACTCAGTAAGTTAAAATACTGTGAACATGCTGTATTTCTAATGAAATACCATAGTGGGCATAAGAAGTGAATGGTAACAGCAAAGGGCCTTGGTTAGCATGAGACAGGATGGTGACTGGTTCTCATTTGATCTTCTCTTTTCCCATTTTTTTTTCCTTTTCCATGCGAGAACATGCCTCTCTCCTTCCTCACCATTTTTGACCAAGTGGACAATTATGACATTTAACTGAAGTTCAGAGCATTTTGACAGTATTGCCAACTCTCAAATTTTCATCCCAGTCATGGGATTTTTAGCTGTCATCACAGCTGATTTGTCAATCCGCGATATACCAAAGACTGCAACGTCCTAGCCATGGGAGAACTTCCCCTTCCTGTTGTTTCTTCTCTCTTTTTTTTTTTCTCTATTGCTGCTGAAGTCAGCAAGACTGTTCTCATTCGGTGAGCCAAAGGGGTTTTCTACAGGAGGAAGTTAAAAGGAAAGCAAACAAAAAAGCTCCAGCAGCAAAAACTACTCTGCTTATGAACCTCTTCCAATGAGCACTGCATCAGTCCCTTGAAGCTATACCTTCCCTGCTGCAGCACCAAGACTGGGATCAAAGAGGAGGGATGAATTGTGGAATAATTCAGGTTGAAAGCTGCCTCTTGTTCATCTGTGCCCTGAGGTTCCTTTACCCTACTTTCCAGACTTAGTAAGGAAGAAACAGATCGGCTTGCATTTGAACCCATGGTAGTACAGGAAACCTGTAGTCTCGGGTGAGAAACATGGAGTATGAAGTAATGAATTAGGCTTCAGGAAGGACAAGTTTTTCGTGACCAACATAGTGGCCTTCTATGACACAGTGACTACATCAGTGGACAGGGAAGAGCTACAGTGTATCCTTTCTGGACTTCCATAAGGCCTTTGACACGGTTCCCCACAACATCCTTGTCTCTAAATTGTAGAGATAAGGACTTGATGAGTGGACTGT